AAAAAATTAAGCCTTAAAAAGGAGTATTTTCGTTTTTTTTTTAAAAAGCATTTAATGCAAAAGACGAAGTGTTGTACAAAGAACCCAAACTGCTTTGAAAGTTACCACTATTTTAATCATTTAATTTCACATAAAATTTTGTTGGAAAAATAGTATAAAAAAAAAAGCTACTGAAATAGAAAAGTTATAAATAGGGACCCGTTACAATATTACTATAGGTTTTGATAATAATTTTTGCGAACAGTCCCCGTCTACAATTTTTCAATTTCAGCTGTTTTTTTGTTGTTGCTATTTTTCCAATTTTGTTTGACCCTTTTAATTTTATAAAGTATATTCTAACCCTGATGCTATTGATTAAAAAAATGCTGATATTAAAATTTTAAATATTATAAAAAAATTTATGTACTATTATATAAAGTTTAATTTTCAAAATTAAAAAAAAGTACTAAAGTTAGAGAACAAGTTACTCCCTCCGTCTCTTATTATAATATCTAATTTTTTGAATGAATCTGTCCCTTTTTATAAGATCCTCTTTAAGTTTGTCTAAGCATTTAATGCACTATTACCTATTTTACTCCTAATTTAATACATTCTCTTTCTTCATTTATTTTACTATTATTCTCTCATATTTAGCCATTTATATATAGGGGTATATTTGAAAAAAAAAATACAGTTGCTACATATTATTGCTCTTAACTAATTTTAACTGTTTTCTTAAATAACGTAATTTAGTTAAAAGGATCTTATAATAAGGTACGGAGTAGTATTCTTTTGGCAACAATATTGTGCTTTTTTCCCTCCAAAAATTAAGTCTTGAATTCATCAGTCGTCAGTTCTTAAAGTTTTTGAAGCGGCGATTATAAGAGGAAAGATATGGACAATGAAAGTGGAGAGACGGAAGACTCAACAAATTAAATGACACTTCCATTAAACTCATGGATTGCCTTATATATACTTCAATTATTGATCCTTGTATCCTTTTATACGTCGTGGAATGCTGTCTTGGTACGTCTAGGACATGTCTTGGATACATCCTAAATATATCTAGATGGTGTGCTTAAAGTAAGACAATTCTCCCCAGAAAAACTACTACCTACGGTCCCTAATACAAAAACTGATTAACTAATTTGAGTATATTAAAGTAATTAATTAAATTCGTTATTTGTAATAAATAGGAGTTGTCTTTTCTAAACATAGTATCATTACTAATTATGTATATTAGTTAAAACTACCATTTGATAAAACATTTAACATATATAACTATTACAATGATTACCTTAAAAGAAATGAGTAGATATAAGAGATAAAGTAGATTTGATCTTATATTTAATACCAAATTAAATTTCAAACTAACTTTATTAAGGAAGAAGGTAGTATAAAATAATGCATGTATCTTCAAGTATTTTGGTCAGATAGTTTACTCGCATGCTTAAGAGAATGAGGTCCGAAGGCGACAAAAATTAGCTTAGATATTGTCTTTACCGTTGCAGAATGAAAGACAATTCCGAGTGTTGAAATGGGATTGATCGAAACAAACAGTTTGGTCGTTTTATGACCATCTTATTTATTTAGTTATTTGTTATGTATAAATTTTCGATTGTTTTACAGATTGGGAAATTGAAAGACTTTTGCTCCATCTTTTTTAATTTGTTTGTTTCTTGTAAAGAAATGTTGGCAGTTTTCTTTGTACAAAATTGGATCTCTTTCTCACACTCATAACTATCAAGTATAGAGGATTACTAACGAATTAGATTAAAACATAATTGGGTTCATATATAAGGTGCTGAGTTCTCTTAGAATAGTTTGACCTATGGTTTAGATTTTTAACTTTTTTGCTTTTGTCAGAAAAATTTAACCTTATTTAAAGGTTATCAACTTCTTCACATATGATCCAAATATTGTGGGGCTTTACAGTCAGCACTGAACACCTTCTTCAACTTCTCTCTCCCTCCCTTCTCTCTCTCTCACCTTCTACCTCTTAACTGCACTAATCCCACAAACTGATCTTAACAGCGTATATACTCAAGCGAATTCGATGTGACATTCGGCAATGTTAGAAGAGCCTTGCTTCCACCGTATGAATCAAGCCCCCGCTATCAAATTCTGAAACATCACTTCCACCGTTAGAAATCTAATCCCCACCCGTAATTTTCAACAAAAAGACCAAAACTTCCAGGAAGGTAAAGTCTGAGTTATTAAGACAATAAACATCTAGAATAATATGCTGACAAGTGAGAAGTTAGAGGTGTGAAGGATGATGGAATAGACTTTTCAAGTTCGTCTCTGAACTACTTTCGGAGCTGCTTCTCATTCTTGGTGACTATAAAGATTCTGTTCATAATGTATTGTGTCCTGCTCATGTCAAGCTTTCAAACATTAACTTCCTTGCCACCTTGGTCTTGGTCATAGTAAGTTTGGAAGATGGAATAATGGGGTTGGCTTAGAAGAAGACTGATTGGAGGAGGGAGGGGGAGAGCGAAACAGAGGAAAGAGGTGTTGCACGTGAGGAAGACGGTGCTTGGTCAAAATTTAATCGGTGCCACCTCAGCTCTCTTCTTCTAAGCCAACCCCATTATTCCATCTTCCAAACTTACTATGACCAAGACCAAGGTGGCAAGGAAGTTAATGTTTGAAAGCTTGACATAAGCAAGACACAATACATTATGAACAGAATCTTTAAAGTCACCAAGAATGAGAAGCAGCTCCGAAAGTAGTTCAGAGACGAACTTGAAAAGTCTATTCCATCATCCTTCACACCTCTAACTTCTCACTTGTCAGCATATTATTCTAGATGTTTATTGTCTTAATAACTCAGACTTTATCTTCCTGGAAGTTTTGGTCTTTTTGTTGAAAATTACGGGTGGGGATTAGATTTCTAACGGTGGAAGTGATGTTTCAGAATTTGATAGCGGGGGCTTGATTCATACGGTGGAAGCAAGGCTCTTCTAACATTGCCGAATGTCACATCGAATTCGCTTGAGTATATACGCTGTTAAGATCAGTTTGTGGGATTAGTGCAGTTAAGAGGTAGAAGGTGAGAGAGAGAGAAGGGAGGGAGAGAGAAGTTGAAGAAGGTGTTCAGTGCTGCATCAAAATTTAATCAGTGCCACATTAGCTCTCTTGACTTAAAGTAACGACAGCGTCACGGATTATTAACGGAAGGACTGTAATAAAAAAAAACTAACAAACAATAAGGATGGAATAAAAAGGAAAAAAAACTATAAGAAACTGATCCAAAATTTGGTGAAACTACAAGGACTATTAAATTCATTTTCCCAAGAACATGTCACATTAACTAATTTAATAAATATTCTTAATTTACTCAAATTAGTTCATTATGTCTCAAAGACTGAAACAGTAATTTTAACATAACTTCCGATATATTGAGTTTGTGATTGCAGATTTACGACGTCATGCGAAAAATTAACAGCAGGGACACCCGTTGTAATGGAGGAAGCTTTAATAACAAGTGTTAACTATAAGGCCTTGCTTGATTTAATTACGCAACTTTCTGGTTAACTTCTTAGAAAGGGGCAGTTTTTGGAGTTAATATATAAATTAATACTCCGGTCCTTAATATAAGAACTATTTAACTAATTTGATGAGATTAATAAAATTAGATAAGTTAATTAATTATAAGAAATATGATATATTTTTCCCAAAACACCATAATCATCTTTCTTAATATCCTCCCTCCCTCACTTACTTGATTATGGTTGAGGGAGTATTAGCTCTAGTCCTTAATATAAGAACTAATTGACTAATTTAAATATATTAAAAAAGTTTGTTAAGTTAATTATTTGTAATAAATATGTATTTCTTTCCTAAAATACCCTTGCCAATTATGTATATTAGCTAAAACTACCATTTGATAAAATATTTAACATGTGCAACTACTACAAGAACTACCTTAGGGAAAAAAAAAAGATGAATATGAGAAACAAAGTGAATTGAAGTCTTATATTTAGGATCAAATTAAAAGTCAAATTATTTTTTTATTAAAGACCGGAGGTATTATTTGGTTAGTTGGGAGGGAAGTTACAATTATTTACCTAAGAAAATATATATATATATATATATTATTTGAAAGATAAAGATGTTAGGAAGTTAATTTTACCTGAATTCTGTAGGGAAGCTACTTTCCAGATTGCGAGGGAAGTGTGAGACTTATTTAACTTTCTAGACTTTTGGAAACGCTTCAAGTTATCATGTATATACATATGACATATCTCACATTTTGAACGCATTTGAAACTTCCCCGGCTTATCTTTGATAGAGGACTCCTTTAAGTTATTGTAAGAATTTACTTTGTTGGTTTTTGGAATATAAAGTAATTAGGGTATACTATTTAAAATTTAGGTTAATCTTATTTTTATTTCTTAAAATTTGACCTCATTTTAGTTTTAAAAATTTAAGATCAGTGGTTTTTGTACATAAAATATAATCTCATTTTGGTTTTAATCTTTGTTTCATATATGTATCAAAATTCTTTAGACAGATCAAAATGAAAATCAAATTTGAGGGACCCAAATCACTGATTTCAAATTTAAGATAAAAGAATCAAAATGAGGTTAGATCTTAATGAACAAAATTATTGATTTCAAAGTTTAGGAGTCAAAACCAAACAATGTCAAATTTCAAAGAATAAAAACCACACTAACCCTTAAAATTCTAAAGAAATTTTATTAAAAATTTAGCTTATCTTACATAACAGCCTAACACGGACTCTTTTAATAACACAATCATATGACATTACTTTTGCACTTTGTTACACATAGTTTAACATCAAGACCAACAAAGAGAACAATACCAAATCCTCTCATCAAAGCTTCCTTGTTCACACACATACATGCTAACTACACTTGTACATGCAGTGTCTATATATATATATCACATACTCTGGATATATAATATTGCATATTTATTATCATCAACTCTCTCTCTCTCTCTCTCTCTCTCTCTCAGATTTAAATTAAACCTGCTGGTTGTCAATGAGGCATTCAAGGCTGAGTGAATCCAATCAACTTGGTGAGGCCAAAAGTTATGGCCATGGCAGCCCAGCCTCCAATAAGAACCCTAATGCACGACTTCTTCACAGGAGTACGACCAAGCACTGCTCCTATGCCTCCAAACACAAGCAAGGCCAAGCTCACCATTGCAGCAACCACACTTAACCTAATTTTATAGTCTTTTATGAACATAGCTCCCACCAATGGAATCACTGCTCCTACAGAAAACGCTAGGGCTGAAGCTAGCGCTGCCTGATATGGACTTGGCAGCTTCTCTTTCTTATCACTACTGTCCCCACCTTCTTCTTCTTCTCTTTTCAGTTGTTCCTTCTCTATGTCGTACTGTGTGTACACGGACACAAACTCGCCTATCGCCATGCTGCAAGCTCCGGCGACTAGCCCGGCGAACCCGGAGAGAACCATGGCTGTGACGTCTTCCTTCACGGCTCCAACGCCCATCATGATAGAGGCGACGGAGACGAGCCCGTCGTTGGCTCCCAGCATGGCGGCGCGAAGCCATTGAGCCCTCTGGGAATAGTCTGTGTCGTCGTTGTCGTCCTTGTTAGGGAGAGTGGGCTTAAGGTTAGGGTTTGGCTGATGAGGAGTTGCTGTTGTTCCATTATTTGCATGGTTGGGAATCTGGATGACCATCTCGTTTTGTGAAGCCATGAGAGAGTGAGGAAAGAAGAAGGTTGTGAAGAAGATATTAATTTTGGTGCTGCAAAATGGGATTAACGTGAGAATCAAGAGAGCTTGTGGAGGACACAAGACTTGTAACGGAGGATATTTATAGAGAGAATTATCATCGTTGATAAGTGTAAATGGACCTAATTTGTTTTTAAATTTGAAAAAGGACAGACTGTGTACGCGCGTGTGGAGGGCACTAACAAGTGGAGGATTCAATTAATAAACGACGTAGTGAAATGATGAAAGCTGAGCATAAGAGTTATTTGGAGATTCAATTCAGTCCTCAATATTATACCCTAATTCGTTTTATCTCTCATATTTATTTATTTTTCTTCAAAATGGTCTCCATAGTGATTACATATATTAAAAGGTTTTCATTCTAATGTACATAATTCACGAAGATATTTTTGAAAAAACAATATCCCTTTGTTGTAAATAACTAACTTAACTAATTTTCTTAATTTTTAATAAATTAGTTATTTAACTTTTATACTATCTCCGGTCATTAATATAAGAGTTAATTGATTAATTTGAGTGGATTAATAAAATTAGTTAAGTTAGTTATTTGTAACAAATAGATGTTGTGTTTTTTAAAATATCTTTACTAATCAAGTATATTGGTTAAAACTACTATTATTATAAGGACTAACTGAAAAAAAAAAAAAATATAAGAGATAAAGTAAATTGGGGTCTTATATTTAGGACCAAAATAAAAGTTCTTATATTAAGGACCAGAGTAGTAATTTGGTAAGATCACATTCAGTTTGTGTTATTAAGAAATTATCACAATTTAAGATAATTTATGTGAAAATTGTAATTTGTTTTAAGATTCTAGGTACTCCTCTGGTCCTATTTATAGGGCAGAGAGGAAAAAAATTTTTGTCCTATTTATAAGTCACATCATTAAATTTTTAGTGTGAATGTACTATTTTGTCCTTCATTTATTATAGTGTAGGTAGTTATCTTTTTTGAAAAGTGTATATATTAAATATGAGTAAAGTTGAAAATTTGTTATATTTTAATGAAGAGTTAATGCATTTTAAGATTTTCTTTTATTTATATGAAATATACTGAAAATGTATAGGACCAGAGAAATACGTTATAATATAATTTTAACTATTATAGTTATTAGATCGGTGTTTTTAAATAATAAGTAAAAAAAATATTGACAATGTAATGTATATACTACCTCTGTTCCTAATTATAAGACCTTGTTTATAATATATAAACGAGGCTTTATGACTAGGACCGGAGGTAGTATATGATATTTAGATATTTATATGTATGCCAAACACAATCAGCAGATGGGTATATTCCTTTTGCTAATTAAATAAGCAAGTCACAGACACATGAACATACAAAGATACGAAACAGAAAAAGAGGGAGATTTTTGTCGAGCAATATTATTATTGTTGTTGTTATTGTTAGGCTAATGTGGCCTCCATATGATGATATATAGTGGCATATTGGCAAATAAGTATTAATTAGTGAAGGAATCAATTAGTTGAGTTTTAATGTGTGTCATACCATATTAAATTGGAGTGTGCATTCCACACGAAAGCCACAGGCCCTTCAAATTTAATAGTTCATAATGAATAAAAATCCAAACTTGACACACCCCAATATGATTCTTTTTCATTTAGAATCTCTCTTTTTCAAATCTTAGTGATCCATCCATTAATTATATGTTGGTCTCCTTTAATTAGTTCATTTGTTTGGATTTTTCTTTTGCCATGTTCTGGGGATGTTGATGGCTAGGACCAGTAACTCGCTTTTAAAAAGCAGCAGCATCATTGTGCTGTCCTAGAACAAATATAGACAATTCATATTTTATCTTAATAACTTAAATCTGATTTGAATAAATATGCAAAGGTTGGTTTAGCTTGACAAGGATTTCATTCATAACTCATAAAGACACAAGTTCAACTTCTCTTACAGATTTAAAAATATAAACATATTTTTTAAAAGCAATCCCAAACACCCAGAGCTGAGTTTAGATTTGATGCTTCGCATCATCACCACACCCTGTGTTGCTGTTCCAAAGCAACCAAGAAACCTAATTTGAGAAAAATAAAATCAAATAAACTAATCCCTGAAAATAAAGCCATATCAAGGCAATGACCACTTTGGATGCTTTTGTGCAAATTAAATCAGAAAACAAATCAGAAAGGAATCTTGTATTAATTATCAAAGTGGCGTGTGCCGGCCACACTGCTGAATTAATATATTATCGCATTATATTATCCAAACCACAGGTCAATAAAGTTAGCAACTTTCATTGTAAGTCATGGTTAATTAATTGATTCAATAGGATTCGTGACCTAATTTGTTGAAAGCGACACTTCAAAGTTCCATCTTCAATCTTGTACACACCACTATTTCCACCGTAGATTTCGCATTAGTCTAATCCCTCACTGCTTATAGTCCGGTCAAATAATTAATTTGTAAATATTAAAAAAATTAATTAAGTTAGTTATTTATAAGTAAATTAATTTCAGTAAAATATCCTCTTCAATTAAATACAAAGAGGTTATTAGTTATGAATTTATGATTAAACTCATCAATCACGAGATTTTTCCCTCGGAATCACACCAAACGGTTGACACTTAGTCAAATCCAAATTCTCTACGTTAAAATGTAAGTAATGCACATGATCCATAGTCAGAGAAATATCAGAGATAATGAGCATGTAAAATTATTTAATAAAAAAATATTTTAAAAAAAATTCATACAATCCCCACACAAGTTTATTTCTTTCATATCATTCATGCTTGAATAGAGATCCAGAATAGAGATCCAGTTTGCAAAACTCTACACCGTCCTCATGTTATCCAAACAAGAACATTATCAAGACCCTCCATTCTCCTACCAAATTTCCTCATCAGATCATTAATTATCCATTTACTCCATTTATCCCTTATTATAAAATCATTTTAACTAAATCGCACAGTTAAAAAAAAGTTAAAATTAATTAAAAACAATTAATATGTAACAAATATAATTTTTTCCAAATATACCCCTATATATAAATAGACAAATGTGATAGAATAATAATAAGATAAATAAAAAATATATATATTAGATGGATTAAATTAAAAGTAAAATAGGTAATAATAGATTAAATACTCAACCAAACTCAAAGATCTTATAAAACAAGACAAGCCTATTCAAAAAATTGAATCTTATAATAAGGGACGAAATAGTACATCTTTCTCTCTCCAAAGTTTTCGATGCAATTTACATAGGAAATACCCCAACAGCTTAGCTCAAGTGAATCATACCACCATGCTTTAATTCCCATAACTTTATGTGGCATATCGAAAACTCAAACCCTAAGGACAAGGCAGTGCAACTTACTCCTCACACTTCATACAATATAAGAGAGAAAAATGCGTCTAGTTAATCATGAAGCAAAACTGTATAGTGGTTAATCCCTACAGCGTTCAGTCACTCAGAACACAAACTCTCACCTTCAGCAACATGACTCTTAAGTATAGTTTGTTCACTGGACATACAGACAAACAGTATTAGGGGGGAAAACAAAGGTTACTAGGGCAGAACATATATATATAAATATATATATATATATATATATATTCTAGGGTGACCACAGAACTTCCTTTCAGAATCACTGTATGGAGGTCAACGAAAAGGCAGCACTCTCAAATCACGCTAGATCATTAGCCCATCTTGCAGAACATAATGGAAATTTTGGGCCCACAAAAGGATTAAAGGACGAGGCAGCAATCTCAAATCTCAATAGATCATGAGTCCATCTTGCAGAACAGAATGGGAATTTGGGACCGTAAGTCAGGTTTGGAGTAAGACCACCTAATTGAATCGCGGCAAACAAGCTCAACAAACCACATGCATGAAGATAAAAAGTATGCCCAGCACATCTTTCCACCAGAGCCCATGCAGAAAACAAAGGTGTCATGATTACTGAATGAAGCTGCAGATGGCTTGCAGCAGCTGAAAGGTTTTAAATTTAGAAAATCATGCATATCCAATTAGCAACAAAGGACCACAAGGACGAATCCAAAACGACCACATTAAGCCAAGCATCCTGCCAAAATTTAATAACATTAATAAAGCACAAACGAAAAACTGCAATCTAACCAATTAGAAGGTAGGAGTATGATAGAAATATATCAATAATTTACCCACTGGATTAGTTTAATTCAAAGATCCAGATATAGCATATCCAAACGGGAACTCTAAGCAAACTCCCAGATACGGACTTCCACCTTGGCCCTCGAAAAATCCATCCACTACCAAATAACTTTCCAATATACTGAAACTGGAAATCCAGCAGAAAATATGCCATACGCAATTCCCCATGGAAACCACAACTCACAAGGTACCGAGCAGCATTTATCAATAGCATAGAGCACAACACCAATTTGGATAGCAAGTCAATCATGCATAAGATTTCAACGGACCCAATGGTCAGCATTTTTGGAACATAAATGGGTTTGATATATGTGCTGAGTATGGCACATCAAAACACTGTCATCATCGATCCCCAAACAAGAATCCCAGAACATGGCCATCATAAAAGGCAGTTGAGGCAGCAAAAGCAACACATCCAAATTTTGCAGCTGCAAAAGTAAAATTGAAATTTCTATTAGCACAATACACCTTACGGAAAGAGAAACCACCCAGAACAAGAAGAGTCCATTCACGTTGCATACCTCAATGAAGATTGTACACTATCCAGAACGGAAGCCTCCTGATCCTCGACGTTCATAAGGTCCAGCACGATCACGACGATCACTTCCAGAATCTCCGTGACTACCTGAGTCCCTGTTGCGCCCACCAGAATAACGATCTGCATTCCTATCAGGACCATAGTGACCACCACCACTACTCCTGCCACCATACCTACCTTCCCTGCCACCATACTTGCCCCCTCCTGCTCCTTCACTAGGGCACTCCCTGGCAAAATGACCAGGTTTACCACATTTAAAACATTCACCACCATTAGAGCTTCGACCACCTCCATAATCTCGGTTACGATCACGATCCCGATCACGACCCCTTTCACGGTAACGATCACCATCATCTCTAGCAGATCCTTGTTGAGGCTGAGCTTTATCAACAGTGATAGTTCGACCATCTAAATCCATGCCATTCATAGCCTCAATAGCCTCTTCCATTGCTTTCCTCTCATCAAACGTAACAAATCCAAAGCCACGAGAGCGCCCAGAGAATTTGTCCACAACCACCTACATCAAGGATATATTTAAAACTGTAACTGTGAGGAACGTATAACTAGAAAAGGGCTGAACCGCTGAATTACAACCACCCCCAAAGTTCAAAGAAATAGTTATTAAAACTGATATGATTGTTCAATAAAGCCAAACCAAATCCATATTCTTGTTATAGTCACTATTTCACTATTGCAGCAAAAATAAAATTTGAAGCAAGATCATGAAATGTGGTTGTAACAACAGAAATTAGGATAAAGGATAATAGTGACATAGTAATGTGATAGAATTCAATACCTTTGCCTCAAGAAGTTTGCCAAACTTTTCAAATGTATCCTTCAGCTTCCTATCAGATGTTGACCATGCAAGGCCACCAATAAAGCAGCGGTACTCATCCGCTTCCGACATTTCAATCTACAAATTTTCCAGGAAACAGGCATTGAAATAAAACTTTTGAATCAGTTATTTGATTCACATAAGTGAAAGAAACCCATTTCACATGAATGAATCCTATCATCTTCAAATAAGAAACGGGAAAATGAGAATCCACAAAAACAAGAGGGAACACAGCATTATAATTTATTATTACAAGATATATTTTTAAGTTTCACCATTTTTTACTGCAACACTTGCATCAGTAAGATATCTCAAAATAATCCCATTCATCTCGAAAGAAATGAGAGAAAATGCACATTATACAAATACAGTGCAAATTAATATGTAATTTCTCTTGTTGACAAAACTCACAAGAAATAATATGTTACAAGCTACAATAAAAAGCTAGCAGAAAATAGTACTCTCTCCCTTCCTTATTATAAGAGACGAATAACCGAATTACGTTGATAAAAAAAACAGTTAAAATTAGTTAAGAACAATCAACATGTAAAAGGTATAATTTTTTTTCCAAAAAGGCCCTCATTAATAAGGAGAGAGAGCATGAGAGAGAACAATGGTAAATTATTCAAAGAAAGAGAAGTGGGAAGGAGAGAGAGTGTGAGTTGCAGACAATAAATATGAGTAAAATAAGAAATCAACACAAGAAAACAGAAACAACTTTTAAGTGTCTCTTATATATAGGAACATGCTATAAGCATCAAATGTCTCTTATAATAAGAAACGGAGGGAGTAAAATTTAACTCAGTGAGGGGGAAAAGGAGAAAAAACTGTCTTGCTTATTGAATATGAATTAACTTTTTTTACCATTCTTCACACAAAGTTGAATCATGTCTGCAAACGTTAGTTCTCAAGAGACCTGAAACTTCAGGTACCGCAGATTATGATAGATAAGATGCAGGGGAGCTCCTGATATTTAAAGTTGACAGCTGCTATTTGTCAAGATAGGAGACTAAACAACTAGACAGTTCGTATAAGTATACTTGAGGTCAGTTGTCATACAATCATAACAAGTTTCTTGAACCAAAGATATAAAATTATAAATAGCTTAGATGGAGGAAGATCTAACAGATTTCATTTGTCGCTATGATAAGTTAAAAGGCTACAGAGTTTATATTTATGCTTCAAGTAAGTTATTAGCTTCTGGGATCAAATAGTTTGAGGCAGACAATATGGCTAAAAGTTAAGACCAAAATGAAACATTGCAGTCGCAGGATTTTTAATGGGAGGATGTATTAGGTGTAAGACTTAATCAAGCAAAGCATAGAAGCGAGGAATAAGGAAAGAATAGATAGAAACCCGCAATTTGAAATGATCTGACCAAAAAGAACTGGCATACAAGAATTAGACATTATGAAGATCTCCAAGTTAGAACTTGACACAGATGAGCGACCCTTGGACTCCTAGTTTCAAGTAGCATGTAATTGTTTCTCAGATTTATGCGAAGATTTCATTTTATGGTAAAAAAACAGACTATCAGTTATTAATGTCAATGGAGATGAAATTGAACAGATGAAACAGAAGGAAGTAGGAAACTATGGAATCTAAGAGATGTAATGCAACAATTAAGCAGAGTCTGTATGCTAAATGAGATTTGTTGGCATATCACCGAGTAAAACGTTTTAGAAGACCCTCTGAGGGATGAACTATTCTTCATACAAGAACCATAGATGACACCGGTGCATAAATGAATTTGATAAGCATGTTGCATGAGAAGACAATGTCTGAGAGATGGCACAGCAAGACTGTCGTAACATGGCAATAATTGATTTTTTTTTTTTCCCCTTTTGGGAACCGAGCATAAACATCACTAACACAAGTGCTTATCCAAACTGCAATACATAATTAATTTATAAACACGAACAAATTCCCTACATTAGAATAGATAGCGTTGGCTTTCAATTTTATTTATCACACAAGGCATAATAGTTATTAGTTGATTAGTCGATTTCTATCAAGTACAATTCTTTAAAACGAAAACAGAATACACGCTTATCTCACTGCTCCACGCATGCCTGCTACCCTAGCAACTTCTCAACAGCACTAACCATTAAGCAGCATAAAGCTCAGTTAAAACAACTTACTACCAAAAGTATCAGATTGAATGACAAAACAGAGGAGAAAGAAAACCAGCACCTTCAACTCCACATTCGGACTTTTAGGGCCTACTCAGCCTAAATCAATAACCCACGAATTTCAAGCACAATTCAAATAAAACCCAGCAAAGTCTTTACCTTGTAGTTGATGTTTTGATGCAAATGTCCACCAGACAATAAAATCCAACTCAGAAATGCAAAAATAACAATATAACAATCTCGCGGAAAAGGGAAGAAAATCGAAATCGTGTAAAGGATCTACAGAACTATACCAGTGGTGCAGAGATCCGCTCAAGGGAGCCTCTTCTCTTATCGGCGGGGAATGGCGGAAAACCTAGAGGAGACGCTGAAGTATCAAGTGCAATTTACTTTTAAGAGGAAGAAATTCCACAGCGTGTTTGCCGAATCAGGCCCGACGCCTTTGGATTCTATCTTTATCGTACTGGTCGCACGCCCCAATTCCACACGTGCTCACTTGACGCGCGTTTGATTTGCCGCCAGCATCCAACCAGACGACATCGTTTAATTAGTTTTAGGAAGATCTGGGGCCCAGATTGTAGTTTCCAAATTCAATAGTATATTATATAAAAATAAAATGGGTAAGCATCACTCGTCCATGTCTATGGCATGTTTGGTGTGATCAAATGAAAATAAGAATGGGACTTGCATAGTACCATAGCTCATTTTAATATATTTGATATGAGGCACTAAATAATACTCCTCCGGTCCTTAATATAGGACCCAATTCTTGAGTTGGTTTTGCTCCTAAATATAAGACTCATTTCTCATATTTATCAATTTTCTCTAAAGTACCCTTATGGATACTCCCTCAACCATAATTAAGTAGAAAAGGGAGAGGGGGTATTAAGAAAGATGATTATGGTGTTTTAGGAAAAATGTGTCACTTATATCATAATTAACTAACTTATCTAACTTCCTTAATATAATCAAATTAGTTAAATGGGTCCTATATTAAGGACCGAAAGAGTACTTAGGATTGTAAAAAAAAAAAATTACGAGAGACTTAGGATTCTAAAATGACCACCAGATGGGATTGCACAATAATGCCATCCCGCATGGTATTAGAAAATCATTTATAGGATTGAATACTATTTTTACCAAATTATTCTTATAATATTTCACAAGCTTCTATTTTTATTTATTACTGTATGATGGTATATAAGTCTTTGTATGATTTATGCATAATTATAAAATAAAATTATTAAGGTAATTTTAAAGTTTTATTCTCACACCCACTCTCATTTTCGCTCCCAGTCTCACACTCAATCCCTTAAAATTCAGGGCCCGCACACCAAAAAATGCGTAAAACTATCAAAAGAACAGATAGCATCATATTACCATATTTGGCAACCTTCGATGATACGATGTTTGCTGTAAAATAGATTTACTTAGGGGCAATTATGACCTTACACAGTTTATTCCTGTATACCAAGGATAGGAGAACTCACGTGGTATTTCAGTATATTGTTCCATTTCCCTTGCATTCCATACCTTTGAAACTTAAGCTTCATTTGGATTAGCGATACATTCAATCTGACTTTTAAAACAGTAAAATTGAATAAAAGTTAGATTGGGTAATGAAATTTTTGTTTGGATTGAATTTTATAAAAATTAGTTTTTAAAGTAAAAAAAAATTATATAGATGATGATTGAATAAATAATACTCCTCCGGTCCTAAATATATGACCTATTTTTTAGTGTAAAATGAGTCCTATATTTAGGACCGGAGGAGTATTGTTTGTAGAATGAATAAAATGGATATGACTTTTATTAAAAATTGCAAAATGATTAAAAATATAAATTTAAAAAATATAATAATTTTAAATTATTATAATATGAAGAAGTTATATTTAATGAATAAAATATGTTTAAATCAGAAGTCGTAAAAATTTGTTAACCAAATAATATTACATGGGTGTTTGGCTAATCTCAAAAGTGCTTCTCAGAAGCACTTTATCCTAAATCGAAGCAAACTCCTCCACATATTTATTTCGTATACTGTAAAAGCATTTCTGAAATTATGGTTTTGTTCTTATCCAAACACCTCCTACATAATTAATTGAATGATATACTCTGCATAATTTACGTAAATAAAAAATAATATTAAAATTTAAAAATATTATAAAAAATGTTAAAAAGTATTTTCACTTAAAAGAATATTACAAATAAATAACTAAAAATTGATTGGAAAGCATAAGAAATATATATAGAGAAGCATAAAAATAACATAAACATGAGGGTAAAAGTGTTTTTTAATTCTAAAAAATTACTTCTACATAAGTTATAAGTAAGTTTTGAATGCTTTTACAACTGTGCTTAAAAAAATAGTTTTTGACCCACAAGTTAGATTAGCTAAAAGCTGTGACAAACAGCTTTAAAATTTACAAACTGACTTATTACACATATAAACTACTTTTTCTTCCCTCATATGCCTTACCAATCAGGCACATGTTTGTTCGTGTTGTGTTTTTTCACAGTTTACTAAGATGACTCTTTAGTTCCTCCCGGTTCTAAGTAGAGCTAGTAATATGAGTTAAACTAATAAGTCCAACCCGCTAACCCCTAAAAAATAACAAGGTTAAGGCTGGCTAAAAGTTAACTTGTTAGTAAACAAAGTTTTTCAACCCACACCACCTAACCCGTAACCTATGGTTGGCAAGCTAACCTGCTTTTTTTTGTATTTTTAAAATTTTATTAATCATTATATATTATTATATTTTATATTCTATCCAAAAATTTTAAAAAAATATCTATATCATTTATTTATTTGGTATTTTTAATCAATTATTTGAAGGAAGGATAAAAACTTCATTATATTTTTGCATAAAGAAGAAAATTTAAAAAAAATAAAAAGAAAATAATAGTTTGCAGGTTAGCTGTCAACCCACCACGACAGGTTAGGGTTGACCAAAAGCCAACTTGTCATTACACGGAGCCTTTTTAATCTGCACCATCTAGTCCTAACTTAGGGTTTGGCCCATATTGTCACCTCTCGTTCTGAGCCCTATGCAATTTCTTAAAAAGTTATAGAAACTAAAGCTTAAAAATATATTTTTGCTCTGTTATGCTTCCCATCGCATGATAAGACAAATAACAAAAGGATTGAAGTGAAGAAGGGCCAACAAAATGAAAGAAAATTGGGCCTACATAGTAATGGACATTGGACCAGTGTTGTGGGTGCTTCTTGGACATGAGTTTGGATCAGCGTGACCTTTAGCCCAATTCTAGAAGGCCCAAACTACTTAATGACCCCTACTGAACGAGTTTTTGCCTTGGCTAGTGACACAATAAGCCGACTAATTCTCCTTCTTTTTATTTTCTTGCTTGAAACATTTATAGGTGATAATGCGGGTTGGCCTGCCGATTACAGGCCAACCTGCCAAAAGTTGAGAGACCGGTAGGCCAGGCTTAAATGGAGTACTATTCGTGGGCTAGTAAAATGGCAGCTCGAGCTCCTCATAGTGGGCCAAGCCACCCATTTTATTTATTTAAAATTTTTTTTTTTCATTGCACATGTTCTTCCTTTTAATTTTAAAACTTACTGGCTACAATTTTCACGTTCATCCCTGTCGATAAAAGAACATCTCGGCCTTATCCAGAAGTTCATCCGAGGAATTGATGTTGGAGGCAACATCTTTGTCTTGATGCAATGATACGCTACTTCTCCTTCCACGACATGCAAGAGAGGATTAAGGTCAAATTGGAGCTCAAGCAAGTTATGATGCCCGTTGTTCTTGAAGAACTCGTGGTAGATTCAAGCATCGACATCGGAACTGCCGCCATGCTTGGTGGGAAGCAGCCGAATTTAACGATGAGATGAATTATGAAGATGAGGCTGGATAGGCAGAGAGAGAATTGGTCGATGAAGGAGAGAGCGAATGGGTTTGAATGGTTCACCAGGAGAATCAGATTGGAAGGGGAGTGACGAAGAAGGATCAAGAAAGAGGAGGGAATGCGGAGCGTTTTGGACTCGGGTGAGCGACTGACGGTGGTGAAGCCTTGCTCCTCTTCAGATTTACCCCGGTCCCCCGGGGGGGACTTCAGCTCGGTTTTGGTGGTCATGAGCTAAAAAACGTTCATTTCAAAACGATCTTAATTTTTATCAATCCAAACCGTCGTATCATCAACTATGCTATACCGGTTGAATAACAACAAAAAAATCCCCTTAGAACATCAATCATTAGTAATTCATATAAATTAATAAAATTAGTTAAATTAATTACTCATAGTAAAATACTTTAAAATGACCTATTTTTCAATTACTCCATCAGGTTCAAAATATAAGCTAAATCTTGTTGGAAGGATGTGATTTTTTTTATAAGATAACATTTACTTTTATCTAAATATTTAATTTTTTTTTTAATTTTACCCACATATATTTTCTTTCCTCTTTGATTTACTTATTATATCTTTTACTTATTCTCTTTATTAATCAGTGCATATTTGAGGAAATAAATATTTATTTTTTTGAACCAATTTAAACTAATTTTTTGATAAACATAAATAGATCAAGGTTATCGTATTAATATCAGAAAAATTACTTTTAATACTTCTTCAATGTATACAATCACTAAAAATCTTATAAGGACATTATAAATTATGTTTAGAATCAAAATAAACATCTCACTTAGCAATTGGCAAAAAAAAATCTCAATTAACACTTACATTTAATATGTGAGTGAGTAATACTAATGATGATAGGGTTATCTAGATCTGCAATATTATGCAATGACTCAACGCGACTTTCACCACAGGAAGAAAAAAACCTCAAGTCGGCAAGCCACTTGACCATATAGCCTTTTTTTTTGAATGGCTGAATAAAATCATTGAATTTCTTGTGGCTTTATTTTTGGCACCAAGTCACTTGTTTCTCTTTTTTTGGTTCTTGGTCAGAAAATCACGAGTTTCTCTTGATAATTAATTTCTTAGTTAAATCCCAACATTACCATCACATGAACTTTGCTTTAGCAACATGCAAATTTAACAAGTGACCAAAAGTTCATCCTAGTCACCCATTTGCAACTCTCATTTAATTTTAGCCATTCACTTCTCCATCCCTTAGAAACATCTAGAAGACAATACTCTTTCCAATCCTAAACATGAAAGTTAATCCAAAAGTTATTTTAATATTACATATAAGACTCTGATCTAATTTATTTTTTAAATTTATATCCCTGCGTGTATGTAATAAAAGATTTTTAATTTCCACAGGAGTAGTGATCAATTAAAATGACTAAAAAGGTATCTCAAAAACTCAACACATTTTTTTTTCAAATAACTAACTTAACTACTTTTTTTAATATTATTAAATTAGTTATCTAACTCCCATATATAGAACCAAAG